CTCACACTCTCCCTAAAATATTTGAGGCAGACTAGGTTTCCTCTGGAAATTCTTTTCCCCATTTTGACTTATCACCCAGAATATGAAGGCCATTGCAGGCCACAATTTATTTAATTAATATCTACAGTATTTCAATTACAGTAATTTGTGGCACAGAAACGAGTCCTTGACGCAGGCTATCAAATCATTTGACAATTATTGTTTTCTGATGTCCAATACGAGCTGTTATTGACATAATTAACTCAAGTGGTTAATAATTTAACCGCATAAAATGTCCATTGAAATAATTGTCAGATTAATGATGATTGATATATTAATTGAATGTGGTAAAGTGTCGGATAAACGGTACACGTGTCGACTGTTGAAGGACCTGAAAATGAAGTTTTGTTACAATATAGCAATGTTAGGAAGTAAAGCGTAGAAATTGTTTTAATACATGTCAAGGATAGGGGCGTATGAACAACGTCAGCACTTATACGCAATGTTGTACCAAGGAGAAATTTTAATTTTTATAACCTCCATCATAAAGTTGATCAGAGATATGGTCGGTGTCATGCTTCAATAATCGAAATGTCATAAAATAAAAAAGGAGAGTAGACTTTAAAACGTACTCTTCGAGCGCACCCTATCACATGAAATAGTAAGCAATACGGAGTTGTGGCTTAGAGTGAAATACCAATTGTAGATCTTCAGTATTCTTAAATTAAATACAAAACAAGTTAAAAAGCAGTACGTTCGGCCGGACTGAATTTTGAATACCCTCCACCAATTGGAACAAATTTAGAAATTTTTAAAAAATAAAATCCTTAGAAAATTCTGTTAAAATTTTAAAAATGCCAAATATTGCCGTTACATTGGGGTCTATGCGACGTGGACCTACATAGGCATTGTTTGTCATAAGCCATCACCATATTCAAATTCGAAACTTGAATAATAATGTAGCTAAAATCTTCAAAATATCGTATATAGGGAGGTACCGTTATATCGGAGCTGTGCGAAGACCTGGACCTGCATAGACAATTTTCTGTCACAGGCTGTAGCATCCATTACGAACTTCAAATACCACATCTCAAACAATTCCAATGGGTATTGTACATAAAATTGTCAAAATACCGAAAATAGGGAGGTACTAATATATGGGAGCTATACGAAGACCTGGACCTGCATAGACAATTTTCTGCCACAGACTGTAGTTCCCATAACGAACTCTAAATACGTAATTTGAAACAATTCTATTGAATAATGACACTAAAATTATCAAAATACCGAATATTGGGAGGTACCACTATCTGGGGGCTATAAGAAGACCTGGACCTGCACAAATAATTTTCTGTCTTAGGGTGTAGCATCCATTTCGAACTTCAAATACCAAATTTGACACAGTTCCGGTAAATAATGTCGCTAAAATCATCCCAATACCGAATATCGAGAGGTACCATGGAGGCTATAAAACGTGGACCTGCATAGACAATTTTCTGGCATAGGCTGAAGTATCCATTACGCACTTCAAATACAAAATTTGAAATAATTCCGGTAAATAATGTCGGTAAAATCATCGAAATACCGAATATCGGGGGTATCGTTATATGGGGGCTATACGAAGACGTGGACCTACATGGCCCATTTTCTGTCTTAAGCTGTAGTATCTATTACGAACTTCAAATACAAAATTTGAAACAATTCCGGTAAATAATGTCGCTAAAATCATCAAAATACCGAATATCGGGAGGTACCTTTATATGGGGCCTATACAAAGACGTAGGTCCACGTCCACGTCCATGACCCATTTTCAATACAAAAAGTCCTGCAGACATAATACACATTTGAGTTAAATTTTATCAACCTACTTTATTTCGTTCGGAAGCTAGAGTGATTTCCACAGACGGACAGACGGACGGACATCGCTAAATCGGCATAGAATTTTATGCTGATGAAGAATATATATACTTTGTGCCGGCCGACTTTATGATACCATACACCAGTTTGTACATTTAGTAGAGCTAGCCATAAAAATAAATCATGTTTTGCATTTAAAGCTGTTATAATTTAAAGCCAAAAGCAACTAATATATGGGAGGTATATCCTCCTCTGAATCGATTTCTACTAAATTTGCGGAGACATATGTGTCTGAACCGATATTCATCAATATTCATTCAATTTCAGCTTATATTACACTTTTTGGGCCCAATGAATGAGAAAAAAGGGATGTATATAAAAAGTGTGAGATTTCCAAACCACTCGTCCGACAGCTGTTAAAATTATACCAGTTACAGGTCGTACAAAATCATATTGGTGAGAATTTTCCAGAAAAAAAGTTATTCGTGATGGAATTCAAGCGTGATAGTGTGATTTCTTTATATTTGGCTGGAAAACCACAAGTGGCTATCGTTAGAGCGCTCCAGAATTTAAATGTGAAGAAATCTTTTGCGTCTCGTATCATCAATCGTTACCGTGATACTGATAGCGTAGCCCGACATATGTCAAGGAAGTGGACGAAAGAAAACAGCAACATCAGCAGAAATGATGCGAAAAGTATAGGAGCGAAAAATGGCGGAAAAATGGCTTGTGAGCTGAAAATATCGCAATATTCCATTCGGCAAATATTGAAAAATGAGCTTGGAGTAAAGCCATTGAAATTCCAAAAAGTTCGAGAACTTACGCCGCACCGCAACAGAAAGAAAATAGACTCAAAGAGTTGCTTCGGTTGGCCGAAAGTGGTGAACTGACGAATTTGGTTTACTCCGATGAGAAAACATTCGTTGTTACTTCCCAAAGAGATCAGCTGAAAATGTGTACCTTCGGTTGGCCACCAGAATTCAAGCGCCGGCCATGGTGATGGTCGCAGCCATATTAATCGACCGTGGCATCAAAATAAATGCCTAATATTATAAAATATTATTAAAATAACCACACTTCAGAGGTCTTCCGATATTCTTTAAAAATCCACGTTTCTGGGCCATAAAAATTGTCCTTTTGGTCCCGGAAAAAATTCTTTAAAAATCCACGTTTCTGGGCCATAAAAATTGTCCTTTTGGTCCCGGAAAAAATTCTTTAAAAATCCACGTTTCTGGGCCATAAAAATTGTCCTTTTGGTCCCGGAAAAAATTCTTTAAAAATCCACGTTTCTGGGCCATAAAAATTGTCCTTTTGGTCCCGGAAAAAATTCTTTAAAAATCCACGTTTCTGGGCCATAAAAATTGTCCTTTTGGTCCCGGAAAAAATTCTTTAAAAATCCACGTTTCTGGGCCATAAAAATTGTCCTTTTGGTCCCGGAAAAAATTCTTTAAAAATCCACGTTTCTGGGCCATAAAAATTGTCCTTTTGGTCCCGGAAAAAAATTCTTTAAAAATCCACGTTTCTGGGCCATAAAAATTGTCCTTTTGGTCCCGGAAAAAAATTCTTTAAAAATCCACGTTTCTGGGTCATAAAAATTGTCCTTTTGGTCCCGCAAAAAAATTCTTTAAAAATCCACGTTTCTGGGCCATAAAAATTGTCCTTTTGGTCTCGCAAAAAAATTCTTTAAAAATCCACGTTTCTGGGTTTTAAAAATCCACGTTTTAGAGGCATTCGGTTCCCAGAAAAATATTGTGTAAAATTCAAGGAAAATATTCTCTAAAAATGCAGAAAAATATTTTTTGAAAATCCACGCTTCTGGTTCTTTAAAATTGTTCTGTTCGTTCCCGAAAAATATTCTTCGGAAATCCACGCAAATCCAGAAAAATATTCTTTGAAAATCCACGCTTCTGGTCCTTAAAAATGTTCTGTTTTTTTCAGAAAAATATTCTTTGAAAATCCCCGCTTCTGGTCCTTAAAAATGTTCTGTTTTTTTTTTTCAGAAAAATATTCTTTGAAAATCCACGCTTCTGGTCCTTAAAAATGTTTTGTTTTTTTTTCTCAGAAAAATATTCTTTGAAAATCCACGCGTCTGGTCCTTAAAAATAATTCTTTTGGTCCACGAAAGATATTCTTCAAAAATCCACGCCTCTGGTCCTTGATTGTTCTAAAAATCCACGCCTCTGGTCCTTGATTGTTCTAAAAATCCACGCCTCTGGTCCTTGATTGTTCTAAAAATCCACGCCTCTGGTCCTTGATTGTTCTAAAAATCCACGCCTCTGGTCCTTGATTGTTCTAAAAATCCACGCCTCTGGTCCTTGATTGTTCTAAAAATCCACGCCACTGGTCCTTGATTGTTCTAAAAAATCCACGCCTCTGGTTCTTGAAAATTGTTCTAAAAATCCACGCCTCTGGTCCTTGAAAATTGTTCTAAAAATCCACGCCTCTGGTCCTTGAAAATTGTTCTAAAAATCCACGCCTCTGGTCCTTGAAAATTGTTCTAAAAATCCACGCCTCTGGTCCTTGAAAATTGTTCTAAAAATCCACGCCTCTGGTCCTTGAAAATTGTTCTAAAAAACCACGCCTCTGGTCCTTGAAAATTGTTCTAAAAATCCACGCCTCTGGTTCTTGAAAATTGTTCTAAAAATCCACGCCTCTGGTCCTTGAAAATTGTTCTAAAAATCCACGCCTCTGGTCCTTGAAAATTGTTCTAAAAATCCACGCCTCGGGTCCTTGAAAATTGTTCTAAAAATCCACGCCTCTGGTCCTTGAAAATTGTTCTAAAAATCCACGCCTCTGGTCCTTGAAAATTGTTCTAAAAATCCACGCCTCTGGTCCTTGAAAATTGTTCTAAAAATCCACGCCTCTGGTCCTTAAAAATTATTCTTTTGGCCTCGTAATATATATTTTATTATTTTATATTAACTCAAGTTGCTCATACGCCAACAGTATTTATTTGCCCGACTTCCGTTTATTTCTTTCATAGGAGAGGATATCTCATTCTCTCTCCCTTTCCCATGGCTTTTTTTATACATAAGTTCTACTATTATTCTACTTTGTCTCTTTAATAATAAGACCAATTTCCCACCCTTTGCCCCCCCTCTGCCTTCATAATATCCAATTATAAAATTGTTGTTTGAGAAAATAGAAATCTGAGCTAAACTTACCTTCTTTTCCACGAATTAATAAATCCCTTTCACCGATGAACTCGAAATAACAACTGCAACGAAAGAAAAAGGAAGAAATGAACAATTATGGCATAATGCCAACATCAAACAACAACAACAACTACAAATTCAAAGAAAAGTTTTATTATAAAATAATAATAATGACTGTCGTCGTTTCCTTTGTCGAGCCGGAGGCAAAGGGAGACCATTATTGGAATGTTGGAAGAAATTATTTGAAGCAGTAATTGAGCATTAAATAGGCAATGTAGGAAATTAATTTAAATGTCAGGTGTTGGTTAGAGGTTAAATTTGTTGGGAAATTAGGAAAAATGTTGTAGAAAGGTCTTAATTATATCGGGTTTCAGGGAAATACATTTCAGGTCAAATTAAAAAAAAAAACTAAGCATTTTGTATCAGCTAATGAATGAAGGTCACATTGAACTCCTTTGGTTGCTTTTCAAGAGATTATCTCTTTACTCTTGTGATGTTAAGCCGTCTGTGTGTGTGAGAGTAACAAAAATGAGGTAGTAGGCAATGTTATTGTGATTTCGCAAAAAAGGCTATTTTGTAAAATTCCAGACGAACTAATTAGGGGGAGTTACTACTTATTCATATAGAATTATGAAATAGAATAGAATATAGAATTAGGAAAGTAACCTCGTGCAATAATGTCTTTTATACCCCCAGCCAAATGGCTACAGAGGGTATATATCATTTGAAACTGCCTTAGATCCTAGGTCGCTTTGGCCAAAGCCATTTCAGGACATTTCAAGTCGATCTAGTGATGTCCGTCTGTCAGCCTGGCTGGTGCGCACGATAACGCTCGAAGAGACTATCCGTTTGATTCATATTTGGTACATCGTATTTTTATTGTCAAACTTAGATCGAGTTCGGAGATGAGCAATATCGGTCCACTGCTTCTAGTACCTCCCCCATACAAGGCCAGAAAATAATTTCAAAGAAAATAATTTACAGTACAGAATACGAAAGAACCATCCAACTTTGTAAATCTTTGCAAATCCAAATATTTTAGCCTGTGTTAGGTAAGGTATGGGCAAATGGGCAATATCGGTCCACTCCACCATGTACCTCCCCCAAAGGGTCAAAATTTCGAATAATTACAACTCATATAAAATTTGAAGTGAGAGTCCAATGGCCTTCCAATTTCTCACATCCCAGTATTATGTCCAACACAAAATAAGATGTGAAGATAGTATATATCGGACCACTCCTTCTGGTACCTCCCCCACAACGGGTCAACATTTTAGATAATAATATCAAACGGCCGATGAAACCCTCACACGCTGCCCAAATGTTGCCCTGCGGTGTTTTGGTCCATTCCCGGCGAAGCGCTTCCTTGGGATGATCGACATTTTGGCATTTTTTAGTGCCAACCTTGCTTTCCAAGATACTCCAGACACAATAGTCCAACGGATTGGTATCCGGAGATTTTGTGCGCTGGAAATAAAGCTAGGAACGGCCAATGAAACCTTCACTCGCTGCCCAAATGTGGAATGGAAAACCAGAAGGTCTGCTCATAGAAGACCAGAACCCCTTTTCATAGAAGAGCAGCAGGTCTTCTCTGGTGTAGATCTAGTGTGAAAATTATAGATAACGACCTGCCCCTGCTGGTACCTCCACCGCAAAGGATCTAGTAAAACTTGGTATATTTAAATATTTTTGTCAACCAGACATCTGAGGTGACTATGGAATTTATCGGCTCATTTCTTCTCGTACGTACCCCACAAAAAAGTTAAAATTATGATTAACAATTATTCCCAAAAAAATAAAATTATAAATGTCTCCTTTACACAAAGGAACCTTTTATACGGAATCTCCTCCATAAAGGGTCAACCTTTTCAATAACCATAATGAAAGTTAAACCATTTTTATACCCTCCACCATACAATGGAGGGTATATTAATTTTGTCATTCCGTTTGTAACTCCTCGAAATACTCATGTCAGACCCAACAAAGTATATATATTCTTGATCAGCGTAAAATTCTAAGTCCATGTCCGTCTTTCTGTCCCTCTGTCTGTCCGTCTGTCTTTATCTCTCTCTGTCTATTGTAATCACGCTATCTTTCCAATGAACTGAGATAGAAGACTAATATTTTGCACACATGTTTATTTTTCCAGAAGGCAGGTTCATTTCGTAAATGGGCCATGTAGGTCCATATAAAGGTACCTCCCTATATTCGGTATTTTGATGATTTTAGCGACATTATTCACCGGAATTGTTTCAAATTTAGTATTTGAAGTTCGAAATGGATACTACACCCTAAGACAAAAAATTGACCGTGCAAGTCCACGTCTTCGTATAGCCCCAATATAACGGTACCTCTCTATATTCGGTATTTTGATGATTTTAGCGCCATCATTCACCGGAATTATTTCAAATTTGGTATTTGAAGTTTGAAATGAATACTACAGCCTAAGATAGAAAATTGTCTGTGCAAGTCCACGTCTTCGTATAGCCCCCATATAACGTTACCTCCCGATATTCGGTGTTTGGATAATTTTAGCGACATTTTTTACCGGAATTGTTTCAAATTACGTATTTAGAGTTCGTCATGGGAACTACAGACTGTGACAGAACATTTTCTATCTTAGTCCAGGTCTTCGTATAGCCCCCATATAACGGTACCTCCCTATATTCGGTATTTTAATGATTTTAGGTACAATACTCACCGGAATTGTTTCAAATTTGGTATTTGAAGTTCGAAATGGATGCTACACCCTAAGACAGAAAATGAGCCATGTAGGTCTACGTTTCCAAATAGCCCCCTTAAACGGTACGTCCCTATATTCGGTATTTTGGTGATTTTATTGTCATTATTCACCATTCACCATTACGTATTTAGAATTCGTTATGGGAACTACAGTCTGTGACAGAAAATTGCCTATGCATGTTCAGGTTCCATATATCAGTACCTCCCTATATACGATAGTTTGATAATTTTAGCTACATTATTCACCGCTTATTTCAAGTTTCGAATTTGAATATGGTAATGGCTTATGACAAACAATGCCTATGTATATCCACGTCGTATAGACCCCAATATGACGGCTTTATTTGGTATTTTTAAAATTTTAACAGAAATTTTTAAGGATTTTATTTTTTGAAAATTTCCAAATTCGTTCCAAATAATGGAGGAACGAACTTACTGCTTTTTAACATGTTTTTAGCTGACACAGGCTGATGGTATGCTGTCGTTAAAATCGAATGATACTTTTTAACTTGTGTTGTTATTAAATTCCGATATTTTGCAATTGTATAAATTGTATCTTAAAATTGTAGTGAACAACATGGGAAATGATGGGATTTACTTCCATCATCGCTTGCAAAAAAATTATTTTACCATTTACCTATGGCAATAAATGAATAAAAATATATTGAAAAAATTGAAATTTTGCATTTTTTTCTGTCTAGAATCGTTAACATTTTTTTCCAGCTTGTTGGCAGTAGTAATTCACGTTACTCGATCGATTAAAATTCTACTGAAAAAGTGACAAATATTTTAAAACAACTAAATTTTTTCATTATTCAATTTCAAAATTAATTTTAATACAATTTCGAAAATTCCTTCAATTAACCAATCCTAAAATCAATTCAATAACAATTCGAAAATTAAATATTAAATTTCGTATGTCATTGAAATTAGTAAATTTTCTAGACATTGAACAAATTAATTCTGATTACAAATACCACCACTTGCTATTGTTAAATAATATCCGTTAATTATAACAGCAAAAACAACAACACCAACAACCACTAATAGCATCGCCACATCCATTTTCTTGATGAACACTTGAAGGTCTTCCTTGACTGACCGACAAGTTGAAAAAAAAATGATTACTTGGCGATTTTCTTTGGACAATTAACATTAATTGGATTAAGACGAAAGACAAAAGAAACAAAAATGAAAATTACAATTTGCAAAGCCTCTGCCATACCTTGAACTACGACGTGGCGTTTGTAAACGATTATTTGAAAGTGACGCCAAACAATGGTTTGCATCTTGACACCTATAGACTTATGGCTTTAGAGAGGATCAAAAACGGGTACATTATTAAAATAACGGATAATTGGGCAGACTCCTGAACTTGAGCCCAACTCTCTTTGAATGAAATCCAGAGTCTCTCCTCTACCTGGCTGTCTGACATATGAACCCAATAGCTGTTGGTGGGAGTTTACTATTTGGTCCCAACTTTATCAATAACGGTCATCTCTTTTCGGCGCACTTTTGGAGAGAAAGACACAACAGAAAAACATAAAAAAAAGTATCACAAAGATGTAAGTTTGGCCGGTCCGAACTTTGAATACCCTCCACCATTTGGTACAAATTTAACAATTAAAAAAAAAATAAATAAAATCCGTTAAAAATTCTGTTAAAATCTTAAAAATAATGAATGTAGCCGGTAAGGTCTATACGACGACGTGGACCTGCATAGGCAACTTTTGTCACAAGCTATTACAATATTCAAATGCGAAACTTGAAAAAAATCTGTTTATAATGTAGCTAAAATCATCAAAATACCGAATATAGGGAGATACCATGGGGGTTATAAAACGTGGACCTCCACAGTCAATTTTCTGTCATAGGCTGTAATATCCATTTCGAATTTTAAATACAAAATTTGAAAAAATTTCGGTAAATAATGTCGTTAAAATCATCAAATTACCGAATATGGGGGGAGGGGGGGTAACGTTATATGGGGTCAAGATGGGCCATGTGGGTCTGTCGTAAAGATGGAATTATCGGTCCACTGCTTCTGGTACATCCCCCACAAAGTGTCAAAATTTTGAATATATAAAACGCAAAATGAACATCCGATTCAATTCACACTTCGCACATCTCAATATTTCCCTCAGCACAAGATCTGTTGTAAAGATGGTGCAGATCGGACCATTCCTTCTGGTACCTTCCCCACAAGGGGTCCAAGTTTTAAATAACCAAAACGATTATAAAATTCGAGATAAGCATCCGGTTCTCTTCATATTTCACACATTCCATGTTTTCTACTAACACAAAATCTGCTATGAATATGGGATATATCGGCACACTCCTTCTGATACCTCCCCCACAAAGTGTCAACATTTTTAATAATTATAACTCTGATAAAATGTGATGTACTAGGTCGACTTTCTTCAATTTACACACATCACAATATTTTTTATTAAATCTGTGGTCACAAGCAATAACAGCCTAAGTCGAAAATCATGCTTTGGAGAAAAATCACTTTTTATATACAAATGAGTTTCTGAAAAACTTAAGAAAGAGCATGAGAACAAATTTTATGCTAAATCAAAGATTATTAAACAGGCAATGCTAAAAATAAAAACGGTAGTGGAAATCTCATATACTTAGAAGATATTTTAAAAACAAAAACATACATGGTTATTGCAAATGGAAAATGGGAATTTGCAAAGAGTATCTCGACTTATGTCTTTATTGTAAAGTAATATTGCATTTGTTGCCTGACATATATCGAATTAGGCGGGTACTGCATATTGAAAATTTCCTCGTACTGAACTTAGGCCTTTTGATTATTTATAGTTCGTGTTGAAAAAAATAAAAGGAATTGCTCATACATAAGAAGTGCATTATTTTTCCATAAATTTTATTTAAAGAAAAATTAACCTAATTACTACTAAAGCCGTTGGAAGGTTAAAGAATATATTAATTTACTTCATTCTATGTCTGGCTCATCTTCGACTAAGTCTGGATGTACATCAATACAGTCCTGTGTTTGTAAACTTTTATAAAAAGGGTGAAAACATGTGTTTATAAATGGAAGTAAAGCAAGCCGATCTTTTTTCTTTTTGATTTTGACACACTCGTTTAGTAAATATAAGTCGTCTCTCTTCATTGAATTAATACCGCGTTTTACCAAATTTAAGATTTGGAAGGAAGCATTTATATATAATGTGGTTTTATATTCAATTCTTCCAAAATTAGTTTTTCTATATCTTAGCCATCTAATATTTTTCCAAACAAATCTCTCACCATCTTGATTAGTGTTTCTCCACATTAACTTTGTTTTTAATAATAGCGAAAAATGATAAAAATCCTCTGAATTTATTTCAACGACTTTAAATTTATGTTTAGTACCTACACATCTAATAAAATTGTACCAGTCGTGAGGATGGTGTATTTGAGTGTCTGTCCTTTTCTTTTTCCTTTCTATTACAGAATGATCTACATCGCATTCCATATGTGTGTGTCCAGGCTCTAAATGTTATGATATGATCTATTGTTTCTAAATTTTGATTGATTTTAAGAGCCAATATGAACATTGCGCATACGAATGAGTTCTTATTTTGTCCCACACAGGAATCGCTATAAAAAATAGTGTGATTAACTTGTTCAAGATTGATTAAAAACTTCAACAAGCACGATGCAATTTGGTTGCCACCACGAGCAGATAACGCTTCATGCCACATAAAGCAATGTGGGGTACCAGTTGTGCAGTCATGAATGGTTAAATTATACGTCCAAAGTTGCCTTTTGTAAAAACTTATTGAGTTTCTGAAGAATGGTGTAGGCAATTTGTATCTTTCCTTGTGTAGTGACTTTCATAACTTGGGAAGCTGTTTATGTGGTCCGTAATAAGTTGAATTATATCATCCGTCACCTAATCCACGTTTGTCGCATAACTCATTATGAGGATAATCTAGTTTCTTCTTCAAAACAGATTTCACAAAACTTTCATCAAAGCACTGCAGGAAACATTTTTGGCATACTTGCACTGGAATCTTCATTCACGTGGCCTTTCGGGATGATTTTGTAAACTTTGAATTTTTTGTTGTTGATATCAATCAGATATCCAATATATAAAATTCGTTGATTGTAAGTACCCAAAGACCAATATTTTCGAAATATGCTTTCTTGAAATGACTGCGGTACCTTTGCTTTGCACTTCATTCGACAGTCACGGGACAGAGGTTGAAATTTTCTCTCTGGCACAACTTTACCGAGTGCACTTACATACGTTTTTCCGTGGTTTCTGTTTTTGCATGAGAGTTTCCGCGAATAATTTTTTAGGGATGTAGTTGGAGCTTCGTTGAATACCACGTCGTCTTCCATATCATTGCAATTACTATCATCATCTCGAATTGAAGGTTCGTAGTCAGGATCTTGAACTATATCATCACCGCCAAAATGCCCTTCTTCATGATAAGTTGACTTATCTTCTTCAACTTCAGTATGTAGTTGGGTAGAAAAAAATTTAATGGCAATTCAGCATTACTGCTTTCTGAAAAAGACATGCGACTTTCATCGTTGTCTTGCAAAGAATTTTCGTTTCCCAAAAAACTCATGCGACTGCCTTCATCACGATCTTTTTATTTAAAAAATTCAAACAACTAAGTAATACAGTTTTTTTTTGTTCACCATTTTATTATTTTGTTACATAATCTACTTTCTGCTTCTTTTCGCTGTTCTCCATATTATATTTCTTTATTGTTTACCGAATTATATTTTAATATTTTTTTTAACACTATTTCCTCTTCTGTACGTTTAGACCAAATGGCTTAACTGAAATCAATTTGACACAATGCTTTTATTATAAAAGCCTAACTGTAATTTGTACAAAATCTGAGAGCATGTGCCATGTGCAATTGTCGCTTATGTAGATATTGCTCTCTTTCTAGCATACTAAGCTACATGCAATAATCTTTTATGTAGAGATAGAAGGTGTTCTTAATCATTCTCAATTTGCAATATCCATTTATCTCTACATAAGCTCTTATGCAAACTCTCTTCTTTATTGCAGTACGATTTACAAAAAATATGCAAAAACAGCTTAACCCATTATAGGCTATTTATTAAAATTAATATATTATAGAAACATGGTCGGAAGTATATTTAGGCGGTTATTGTATATGTAATGGGGTTTCTTTACGATTTATGTCAATATGTTTTTACTTATATCTTTTTAAATAATTTTGCTAGAGAAATGGGGATTTCACGCACATGTTTAGTTTTGCTAGTTCAATAAGATAGCATACATATCTCAGATCTTTCTTAAGTCGACTTAGGCGGTTATTGCTTGTGACCACAGAAATATGGAATATATCGGTCCAATCTTTCTTGGACCTCCCCCTCAAAGGGTCAAAATTTTTAATTATCCCTGAAGCTAATAAAACGCTAAACATCCGATTCCATTCAGACTTCGTACATCTCAATATTTCCCTCAACACAAGATCTGTTGTAAAGATGGTGCAGATCGGATTATTCCTTCTGGTACCTTCCCCACAAAGGGTCCAAATTTTGAATAACCAAAACGATTAAAAAATTCGAGGATAATCCGATTTTTCTCAAACTTTGCAAATTCTAAAATTTCCATCAGTTCTAGATCAAGTTTGCAAATGGACAATATCGGTCCACTCCAACAATAAACTCCCCCACAAAGGGTCAACATTTTGAATAATTATAAATGTTATAAACAGTGAGGCTAGAGTCCGACTGTCTTGAAATTATACGTAACATAATATTTTTGTCTTAAAGATCTGGTGTGGACATGGAATGTATGGGTCCACTTCTTCTGGTACATCCCTCACAAGGGGTCAAAATTTTGAATAGCCATTAACCTCGTAAAAAGCGAAATGAGCATCCGATTCTTTTGAAATTTCATGCATCTCAATATTTCAACTTAGTGAAGAGCTGGTGTGAAGATTGTAGATATCGGACCACTACTTCTGGTACCTCCCCCACAAAATTTTGAATAATTATAAAATTTGATCTAAGAGTCCCATTATCTTCAAATTTCGAACTTTATAATATTTTCACTAACACAAGGTCTGGTATGAAGAACGGATTGAACGGGCAATTACTTCTGGTCATTCCTTTCCCAAAATGGGACAAGATGTGGAATAACCATTAAGCACATAGAACGCGAAATGAGCATCCGAATACTTAGAAAATCGGCACATCCCAATACTTCTATCAACACAAGATTTGTTTTAAAGATGGTACAGATCGGACCATTTCTTCTGGAACCTCAACCACAACGGTTAAAATTTTGACGCAAGGTCTTGTGAGAAGACGGAATATATCGGCCCACTCATTCAAAATAGCAAAAATCAGGAGCAACGCTATGTACGGGCCATACCGACACGTGGACCGATATGTCCCATTTTTAATACCAAACATACTAGGGGTACTATATAATAATAAATAACAATCTCTGAGCAACATTTCAAAGTGATAGAAAGCTTCCCTAAATAAATCTCCATTTTTTGAGGACCTCACCCCACTGTGCGACATTAAAACGTATTTTATTTTCCTGTAATGATTTTTCATTTTGAAAAGTGTAACTGACCGTTTATCAAAATTTTGGAATTAAAATCAAATTTATTTTCATACCAACACACATACACGCATACTGCTCCCACACACACACACACCTAAACCCAAATCAATGAACCAAAGGAAACGAAAGTGAAAAACACTAATTTACGGCGACACAATACAAAACAAAAAAAACTCACATAACTATAAGCGTATTTTAATCGGCCAAGCGGACGACAAGAGAAAATTCAAGTATCCGAGCCAAAAAAAAAATTTTTCGAAAAATCAAAATGATTTTTTTGCAATGCAATTTCTGTTGTGCCCAAAAACAAAAACTAATTACGTCGCAGTATCGTATTCGTAACAAACGTATCAGCGCCAAAAAGACAACCGAACCGAATTTGCTCACTACTCGGCAGATGCGTTCAGTGTTTGGCGAGAGACCACAACAAACTGATGACTGGCTGTTAGATAGGCCATGGATGGGTTCGGGTCTCTTGAAAATGTGTATTAGGCCCAGACACACACACACACACATATACAGGGCAAGTGATGGTTGTGATGACTGGCTGGCTGGCTAGAGGAGGTGGCAAGGAAGGTGAAGCAACAACAACGAACCATGCCATTCATCGAAGACAATGATTTTTGTCGATGATGGCAGTGATGACGACAGCCCAACTCAGACCAGAGACTACCACAAAGAGGAAAAAAGGAAAGAAAAAGAATAACAACAAATGTTTGTATACCCTGTGCTCTTACACATTCCAAATGTGCGTTGCCATAAACCAAGGAAACCAAAAAAAAACTAACACACTCTCACTCACACAGACAAGGAGAACAGTCCCAAAGCATGGCTGGATACTACTGTGAAAAAGAATACCTTGCATCAGATTTCCAATGTATACGAAATGTTTACAAGGACATTGGGATAATAAATGAAAAACGCACACACAGCCACAAACAAAACAATAGACACAAAAACCCGAGAGAAACCAGTTGCTTTTCCCATTACACGAATCCTTGGGAGCGAGAATCTCCATTAAAATGTGTGTGTCTATAAATCATGGTCGTTGTTGTCTCAGGTTATTTGATGGGTGGGCGGGTGTATGTGTGTTTGTGGGCTCTACGTGCAATTAATATTAACTTTGTTAATTTGAACTAATATTTAATTGTCGTGTCCTTAGGGTCGTACGATGATTGATGTCAGCACTGCCAATACGAGCCACAGCTAAATGTAATATTAAATAGTTCATCGGCTGGTTAAATGAAAAAAATGTTTGTACAATGTGTAAATAATGTAGCACGCATGTAGGAAATTAGGAAAAGCTAATCTGGAGGGGTTGGGGAATTATTGGGCAACAGGTGGCACTGTCAAATGGAGGAAAAATATATATATATTCTTGATCAGCATAAGATTCTATGTCCATTTAGCGATGTCCATCCGTCTGTAGAAATCACTCTAGCTTCCGAGCGAATTGAAGTAGATTGATAAAATTTCATTCAAATGTATGTTATGTCTGCAGGACTTTTGGTATTGATAATGGGTCATGTAGGTCCACGTTTTGGTGTAGCCCCCATATAACGGTAACTCCCGATATTCGGTATTTTGATGATTTTAGCGACATTATTCACCGGAATTATTTCAAATTTGGCATTTAAAATTCGTAATGGATACTACAGCCAAATACAGAAAATTGTCTGTGCAGGTCCACGTCTTCGTATAGCCCCCATATAACGGTTCTTCCCGATATTCGGTCTTTTGGCGATTTTAGCTACATTATTAACCGATTTGTTTTGTTTTTGTTTTATTGTTAAGTTTCGCATTTGAATATTGTAATGGCTTATGACAAAAGTTACCTATGCAGGTCCATGTCATCGTATAGACCCTAATGTAACAGCTACATTCGGTATTTTTAAGATTTTAACAGAATTTTTAAAGGATTTTATTGTTTTTGAGAATTGCAAAATTCGTTCCAAATGGTGGAGGGCATTCAAAGTTCGGACCGGCCGAACTTCCTGTTTCTTTTTTTTTTTTTTTTGTTTTTTTTTTTTAAATTTGGTAGAGGAAGTGGACCGATATTGCCTATTTCGAAACTCGTTCTAAGTTCGATGATAATATTACGATCTACCAAGTTTGGACCCAATCGGATATCCCCTCTTTAGAGTTATCACCAGTTATCACCAACCAAACACCTCTTCTGCTTAAAAAGGATAAACATATTACATACTTCTATGTCTCATAACTTGCGAAACAAGTCAGCGAAGTGGAATACATCAGTCCAGCTATTTCAAGGACCTTGATCACATTTTCCAATTGATTTAGACCCTATTTAGCATTTTGGTTTCTAAGGGGATAGAAAACCCCTTCGTCAAAAAAATTTCAGTGTAGGACATTGTTTTGGAGGGGCGGCCTTGTAAGTTTACTTCCCAATTTTACATATATCGAGGGTCTTGACTACATTTTCCAATCTATTTGGCTAGAAACCTGTATTTAGTCTACTTGGGGTATAGAACCATCTTAAAAAAATGTCAATATTTGTATATACAGGGTGAGATAAAAAACCTGTAACAATGTCAAACGCCATAATTTTTACATCCACCACGAATAGCATTTTTTCTGGAAAATTCTCACAAAAATGTTTTTGTGCGCTGTTACTGGAATAATTTTAGCAACTGTCGGACGAGTAGCGTAGAAATGACAGCAGTCTGAAGTTGGTTGCAGTTTTATTAGCTCACAATGGTATCTTCTTAAGTGGAGGTATATGCCATTTGTTTAAAAAAAATAATGTTTCCCCAGAAAATTCTTTCAATAGACAACAAAAAGTATGATTTGTAATATTTCCAAGACATCAAATTGTTTAAGATTTGTTTATGGACCAAAAATTATGACTTTTATGAAAATCTATTTAAGGACCTTCCGACCAAAAAATACTAAACATTGAACAATAATTCATGCTTTAAGAAGGGTTCACAAATAATAGCTAAAATGCCGAAAACTCAATATTTAAGAAGCTATGGCCATTTTAAAGTATTCAATAATTCATGCTTTAAAAAGTGATCACAAATAATGGCTAAAAACGCCGAAAACTCAATATTTAAGGAGTTATGGCCATTTTAAAGTATTCAATAATTCAACCCTAAAAAAGTGATCACAAATAATAGCTAAAAACGCCGAAAACTCAATATTTAAGGAGTTATGGCCATTTTAAAGTATTCAATAATTCATGCTTTAAAAAGTGATCACAAATAATGGCTAAAAACGCCGAAAACTCAATATTTAAGGAGTTATGGCCATTTTAAAGTATTCAATAATTCATGCTTTAAAAAGTGATCACAAATAATGGCTAAAAACGCCGAAAACTCAATATTTAAGGAGTTATGGCCATTTTAAAGTATTCAATAATTCATGCTTTAAAAAGTGATCACAAATAATGGCTAAAAACGCCGAAAACTCAATATTTAAGGAGTTATGGCCATTTTAAAGTATTCAATAATTCATGCTTTAAAAAGTGATCACAAATAATGGCTAAAAACGCCGAAAACTCAATATTTAAGGAGTTATGGCCATTTTAAAGTATTCAATAATTCATGCTTTAAAAAGTGATCACAAATAATGGCTAAAAACGCCGAAAACTCAATATTTAAGGAGTTATGGCCATTTTAAAGTATTCAATAATTCATGCTTTAAAAAGTGATCACAAATAATAGCTAAAAACGCCGAAAACTCAATATTTAAGGAGTTATGGCCATTTTAAAGTATTCAATAATTCAACCCTAAAAAAGTGATCACAAATAATAGCTAAAAACGCCGAAAACTCAATATTTAAGGAGTTATGGCCATTTTAAAGTATTCAATAATTCATGCTTTAAAAAGTGATCACAAATAATGGCTAAAAACGCCGAAAACTCAATATTTAAGGAGTTATGGCCATTTTAAAGTATTCAATAATTCATGCTTTAAAAAGTGATCACAAATAATAGCTAAAAACGCCGAAAACTCAATATTTAAGGAGTTATGGCCATTTTAAAGTATTCAATAATTCAACCCTAAAAAAGTGATCACAAATAATAGCTAAAAACGCCGAAAACTCAATATTTAAGGAGTTATGGCCATTTTAAAGTATTCAATAATTCATGCTTTAAAAAGTGATCACAAATAATAGCTAAAAACGCCGAAAACTCACAAATAATGGCTAAAAACGCCAAAAACTCAATATTTAAGGAGTTATGGCCATTTTAAAGTATTCAATAATTCAACCCTAAAAAAGTGATCACAAATAATAGCTAAAAACGCCGAAAACTCAATATTTAAGGAGTTATGGCCATTTTAAAGTATTCAATAATTCAACCCTAAAAAAATGGTCACAAATAATAGCTAAAAACGCCGAAAACTCAATATTTAAGGAGTTATGGCCATTTTAAAGTATTCAATAATTCATGCTTTAAAAAGTGATCACAAATAATAGCTAAAAACGCCGAAAACTCAATATTTAAGGAGTTATGGCCATTTTAAAGTATTCAATAATTCAACCCTAAAAACGCCGAAAACTCAATATTTAAGGAGTTATGGCCATTTTAAAGTATTCAATAATTCAACCCTAAAAAAGTGATCACAAATAATAGCTAAAAATGCCGAAAACTCAATATTTAAGGAGTTATGGCCATTTTAAAGTATTCAATAATTCATGCTTTAAAAAGGGATCACAAATAATAGCTAAAAACGCCGAAAACTCAATATTTAAGGAGTTATGGCCATTTTAAAGTATTCAATAATTCATGCTTTAAAAAGGGATCACAAATAATAGCTAAAAACGCCGAAAACTCAATATTTAAGGAGTTATGGCCATTTTAAAGTATTCAATAATTCATGCTTTATAAAGGGATCACAAATAATGGCTAAAAACGCCGAAAACTCAATATTTAAGGAGTTATGGCCATTTTAAAGTATTCAATAATTCAACCCTAAAAAAGTGATCACAAATAATAGCTAAAAACGTCGAAAACTCAATATTTAAGGAGTTATGGCCATTTTAAAGTATTCAATAATTCATGCTTTAAAAAGGGATCACAAATAATAGCTAAAAACGCCGAAAACTCAATATTTAACGAGTTATGGCCATTTTAAAGTATTCAATAATTCATGCTTTAAAAAGGGATCACAAATAATAACTAAAAACGCCGAAAACTCAATATTTAAGGAGTTATGGCCATTTTAAAGTATTCAATAATTCAACCCTAAAAAAGTGATCACAAATAATAGCTAAAAACGCCGAAAACTAAATATTTAAGGAGTTATGGCCATTTTAAAGTATTCAATAATTCATGCTTTAAAAAGTGATCACAAATAATGGCTAAAAACGCCGAAAACTCAATATTTAAGGAGTTATGGCCATTTTAAAGTATTCAATAATT